AGGGAGGCCGCGGGGGGTGGGTTTAGGGGTTGCGTGGGGGCCTTGTCCCCCCGCCGGGCTCCCACCAGCCTCGCAAAGGGAACACGCTGTTGCACACCCCCCGCCTCGCACGCTAAGCACACGCGTGTTCCCACAGATTTTCTGTGTGCACGGGGGCCTCTCGCCCTCCATCCAGACACTGGACCAGATCCGCACCATCGACCGCAAGCAGGAGGTGCCCCACGACGGCCCCATGTGCGATCTCCTGTGGTCCGACCCCGAGGGTAGGTCCCGCACACGTGTGTCGGCGCGTGTTGGTGCATGTCCCGCCTTGCAGCCCCGCCCTGCAGGGCAGGGTGAGGCCAGTCGTCCCGTGTCACATCCCATGTCGCGCCCCGTGGCCTCCCAACCACCATCAGGGTGGCCTTGTCAGTCACCTGGGGTGACAACGTGTGACATGGATGTGTGTCGTGTGTTGTCAGGTGGTGGTGCCGGGCTGGGGGGCGTGGCTCCAGGTGACACACGTGTGGCTTCCTCAGTCACACTGGGCTGGTCTGTGTGACACTTGGGTGACCCCACAGCCACATTGGGCTGTTCTACATGACAGATGTGGGCCCGTGTGGCACGCGTGTGGGTCACGTGCCTTCAGACACGCTCCAGCCTGGCCGATGTGGCTCCAGGTGATGCACGCGTGATCCCGCGGCCACGCCAGGCTGGTGTGTGTGACAACACATGTGACTCCATAGCCACACTGGGGCTGTTCCACGTGACACATGTAGACACGTGTAACACACGTGGGTCACATTTTCCGACGTGCAACCCCTAGCTCAATGTGACACACCTGTGCCCCCACATACCGGGAACCCCACGGGAACCCACGCCACGCTGCCCCGGTCCGTGTCCCGCTTCCCCCGTGACATGCGTGTGACATGTCGGCAGACACAACGGGCTGGGGCGTGTCCCCGCGAGGGGCCGGGTACCTGTTCGGCAGTGACGTGGTGGCCCAGTTCAACGCCTCCAACGACATCGACATGATCTGCCGGGCCCACCAGCTCGTCATGGAAGGCTACAAGTGGCACTTCAACGAGACCGTCCTCACCGTGTGGTCTGCCCCCAACTACTGCTACAGGTCAGCCACACGCTAAGGACACGCTAAGCACACGCTAAGGCGTTGTGGGGTGAAGGGGTGGGGCAGGGGGACATGGTGAAAGGCTGCCGGTGGCACCAGAGCGGGAATGTTTGTCCTCGTCTGGTTGGTCTGGGGTGGTTGGTGGCGGTCTTGACACGCTAAGCACATGCTAAGAACATAGTAAGGTGGGGGCAGGAGACACGCACCAGTAGGCAGCGAGTGACACTTGAATGAGGCTGTCCCCATCGTGGGATTGGCCACCAGGTGCTGATATACGTGGGCTGACATGCTAAACACGTGCTAATGACATGCTTAGGACACGCAACAAGGAGACGTGGGGTGGGGGGATATTGGGGGGTGCTGACTCTTGAAGGGGACCTTCCTCATTGTGGCGTTGGTTACCAACTGCCACTCTGAGCGTGTCACCACGCCAAATCGCACACGCTAAGCACACGCTTCATCCCGCAGGTGCGGGAACGTGGCGGCCATCTTGGAGCTGGACGAGCACCTGCAGAAAGAATTCATCATGGAGACGTGGGGTGGGGGGATATTGGGGGGTGCTGACTCTTGAAGGGGACCTTCCTCATTGTGGCGTTGGTTACCAACTGCCACTCTGAGCGTGTCACCACGCCAAATCGCACACGCTAAGCACACGCTTCATCCCGCAGGTGCGGGAACGTGGCGGCCATCTTGGAGCTGGACGAGCACCTGCAGAAAGAATTCATCATCTTCGAGGCGGCGCCGCAGGAGACACGGGGGATCCCCTCCAAGATTTGACTACTTCCTGTGACACCCCCCCGGCCCCACCCATGTCCCCAACGGGTCACCTGCGTCCCCCGGGGCCACCTAGAGCCACCCCGGGGTCACCATGTCCCCAAGGAGACATGGGGCGTCCCCTCTATGGTGGTCACCGCTGGTGGCATCTAGGGAGGGTTGGGGGTGTCGCCGTG